AATGAAGACGAGTTTTCCTAACGAGTTGATTTTGTCTTTAGAATATTTGCGCCAAGATGTTGGGTATGTAAGCAACCTATAATGCCAGAACAGGGAAGAAGAGACTGTAAGGGTGGTAGCATTAGATCACAGTTTCCACATCCAATGCTACAAATGTGAGGTATGTAAGCAAATACCTAATTTGCAATGAGATAAAGTGAAACAATTACATAACATACAGATATTTAGAAAAATAAAATTTTCGTCTCTAAGAATTTCCACTGTTCACAGACAAAATGTTTGTTGCCATTGTTGAACGTTAGTTGCTTGAATCCTAATGTTTGTTTTAGGATTGTGGGCTGGTTCTATCATCAGAAGCGGAGGGCAGAGGTTGTTATCCATTAGACGGCCATGTTCTTTGTAAGAGTTGCAACGCAAAACGCGTGCAAGCTCTTACTAGTCATATGACTACAGAGCTCTAAAAGCTGCGTAAATTACCATATTATTATATCATTATATTTATTTTTACCTTACGAGGAAAGCGCTTGTAAATGTGAGTGTTCCTAAACGCAATTTTACTTCCATTCCCCAGGTAATATACTAAGCATCTTGCCCTTTATCTTAAGATAGTATCTTCCTCATTTTTGCTTTCCAACTTCCTTCCATTCCTCTTCTTCTCTTTTAGTTTTTTGAAACATGTTTGACAATGACTTTACACGTAGTCACTTTTTCAATTGATTTTTTTCTCTATAAATAAGTGCTTGGTGGAACGTAAGCACTCTTAGGAAAGAAAATTAGAGAGATAGAGAAAACTTTTCTTCATATGACTTTCTGGTATCAAAAACTATGCTTGTTAATCAGTGCTCCTATTTCTTTTTCATATTATGGCAAAATTCCTTTCTGATTATGGCGCAAGATACCAGAAACGAAGCTGATGTTACCTATGCGCGTAATTTTTAAACAATACTGCCTGCTTTTTCTGTTCGTCATTGTCAGTCATAGAGGATCGTAGGCCCTTTACTTTTAGTTAAAGTACTGTCGGTCTGTCAGGTGGTGTTACCCGATATTAAAGTCATGAGAAATAGAGGAAAACGAAAGTGGAGAGCGAAGAAAAGGAAGTGCGTAAAGATGGTTGTCGTGGCTTTCTTTGGACCTAAAATTGCCTACAGTTCCAGCCGCGGTCTTGCGGGCTCGCAAACTTACTCGACTGCGTAGTCTACTGGCTGCACGCAACAAATAGCTCGATTTTTTTTGTCATAGTTAAATATTTCATGTGACAAAAAACGAAACATTGTCGACATACAAGAAACAAATTTAATTCCAAGTTCTTGGTACCTTCATGGAGTTGCGAGCAGTGTACATTCCAAATTTTTCAAGGCACTATGATTCAAGGGGAGAAGATGGTCTTAGAGTTTTTATACATGTAAAACATTCTGGATTCTATGCAATTTCAAGTACTACACAATCAAATCTGAAATATCGATCAGAAACAGCGATTGAAATTGTTTGTGATAATTGAAAAAGCCAATTTAACAAAACAGCCTTTGTGCTTTTTATTCTGGAAGCAATACTTGCCAAAATACAACAATAAATCAGAAAAGCACATCTTGGTGGTTTTTCAAAGTTTTTTAACGGAGTTGCACACTTCATCGGACTGGCGTTTATCACTATTTTGTGGGGGAACAATTACAACACGCTGCTTAAGAAAACTTCCGCTTTTAGCGAGAATATGTGAAAATTACGATATTTATGTTAAAACTTAACGAAATTTTATAGTGAAGACATTTATTAACAATCTGGGTTGTTATTCGATATAAAATATAAGAGTCTGTATCAGCGGTCGGCGACCTTGGAGAGTCAAAATAAAGAAAAAGGAGCCACCACTGTGGAATTAATTATATTACTTTATTTTATAAAAAATGAGGAACAATAACGAAAAAATGAACATAACCATTTTATATAACATTATGTATTTAGTTACATATTTTTTAATAATTATTTATTTAGTAAGCATATTTAGGTATATAACACTAAGACCTGATTTTATTATTGACCAGGGGGATGTAAAATCTTGATCCGGATCATGATAGACCTATGAGAAGGAATTTTTGTAGTAATGGATCAATTGGATATACTCAATTTTTCTAAAATACCTCTCAAGCTAGCGAACAAATATACGTTTTGACGTCGGTGCGATTTTTCGGTTTTTTTCCGAGTTGCCGTTATGTTTAGGTAGAAAGCGATACTGTTTCTGAAACTAGAAACTCGGCGCTTTACGACCGAGTACGAACCATCGAGATATGAGGACAAAAAACGATTGAAAAGTCAAGTTGAAAAAAATTTAGTTTTTTGCAGGGAACCTAACTTTCGCCATTTGTAAAAATGTCGTCTCATTCGATAGCTAAATGATGAGCGGGCCCTATAGCGTAGCCCCTTTTTCGATTCGCGTCTCAGTTTTTTCTAGAAATTTTCAAAGGACAAACTAGAAAACTTGCGAATTTTCGTTGGAACGCCGATATCTCTTCTATGCCAAAGAAAAATGAAAATTTGCGCTACGCATTTTGTACATCTAAACGAGTACTATAAATGACCTAGAGAGAGTTTTTTCCGTTTAGGACACCCGTTTCGAATAAAAAATTTCAAATGTTGAAAAATTTGCTTTTTCTGATCTTAAACGCCCTTTTCGATATTCAGGATCTATCTACTCTGAAGATAATGGAGATACAGACCTAGCGATTTTTGCATATCAAAGCCCACATTTCGGACTCCAGTTTAAAGGTATTTCGCCCCCATATTAAAATCACGGAAATTCTTTATAAATCACCTGGTTTGGTTACATTCTTTCAGTTGATCCGGAGATCAAAACCTACGATCCGGATCAACAATGGCCAATTAGACAGCGTTTTCATAAAACTGCAAGCTTGTAATAAATTAAGATAGCAGGTCCCGGTGCGAATACTGTGTTTATGCATTGATTAACATATTCCTCATGGCGTTGAATCACCCTAATTAGCGAACGAATTTTCTAGTATTCCTTTTTTCTCTACTCTTGACAGTTGATACATTTGTAGTGCTGCCAAGCTAACAACAGTAAACATGAATAATATGTATCAACACAGAATTGTTTGAAACGAAAAATCTAACGTTTATTTTGTGGATCTACCTTACAATGTTTCGTTGAACAGTTTGATGTGGTAGCGCTGGACAGCAGAGCTTATGAAACGCAGCACTTTTTTGGTTCGATACGGCGATTAGAGGAGGCGCTTCTTATACAAATCGTATATTTTTCGCTAGGTTGAGAGACATTTTATTCATTAGATCCATTACCAGAAAGATGCCTTCTCATCGGTCGATTATGATCCGGATCAAGAATTTTGCACTCCTGTTAGTAAAATCGGGCTGCCGATCGCTGGTGTATATAATGGAATCGTGTACTTGTGCAACCGTAAATATATTAGTAAGATTGGTGGATACCATTAGAACTGTGTGCTGTGTTAACATAGTGATAGTAGCTTGTTGAAAATTTATTCTAGTTGTAAAATATGTATACCATAACCCATCATATCCAAACGAATTTATGTATAGTGTAATGATGACGATTTTGGTTTTTCTTTTTTGTATTCAGCTAATCTACATTCCATTACTGCGTTGATTCCATTGACTTGAATTTAGGTTGACTGGCGCAGCGCTTCTTATCCGATAAAGCATTTACTTTAAGTTACGCATATGTATATTAATTCGTAAATGTATGCTTATTGTTCATGTGATTTAGTATAGCTTTGTATATAAAACCATTCTGCCCGTAACTGAATTTTTATTAGTTTCTATCAATAGTGCAACCATCTAAAAGCCTCCTATTAGTAGTGGTGGTGAGGAGGCGACAACTAGTCAACCCTTGACACTACTACTCCACAAGCCATCTACAGGTAACTAATTGCTGAATAACCAACATTCATGAGGTTGAAATTAACTTCCATGGTGGAGATTCAAACCTGCAGTGTATTTTTCAGACGGGTTAAAGAAGTTGACGCATCGCTAGATTGATTGTATAGAGCATTGATTCCCAAAGTGGTCTATATCGACCCCTAGGGGTCTATGACAACCTGCAAGGGGTCTACGTCAGCGAAAAAAAATTTGGGGGTCCATGAAATGAATATGGGGGTCCACGATAGTGGATCTCAACACATACACTGATAGTACCTATTTACTTACATCATACTATCTTATAATATCAAAACATATACATTATTTATAAAAGTAAAAAATTATTATATATGTTTATAAAATTGTGTAAGTTGTAGGATGTTGGTATTCGCTTTGTGGTCGCAATACATTTTGAACTTGTAAAAACCTGAGAGTCGCAGTCTCAGAGCTTCGCTACCTTGCACTGACTTGTTCAATTCGTCACTCTATAAATACGAATGTGGGACAAATACGTTTATTCGTTTCCTGAATCTTGAAAAGGAAAGTGCTAAGAAAATATTTTAAAAATATAAACAGATAGTATATCACACAAATTATAGTGAGTCAGTGTTATTTTGTTTGAGAGTGCTGGAGAAAAGTAAGTACATTATTTTTTATTAAATTTTAGTTTTGTACTCGTAGTTAGCAAAGATAGATAAATTACGCCAATCATGACTTTAGTTATTAGTAGTTAAATATTCAATCATGCAAAATTACACGAGTACTCCTCAATAGTTTCTTTTTGAAAGTTTTAGCAATCGGTAATATAATTACAGTGCAATCTCCGTAATTCGAGCTAATTGTTGCAAGAAGATGTTCGAATTATGGAATGTTTTCGGAAAAATCAAAAAAATTTTTAATATATACTACAGCTGCTGGATTTTCTGTCTTATTTAAATAATTTAATTTTGCCCACAGATGACTGATGCCATGTCCGAATCTAAAAGAAATGTAGACAGTACAGTGTTGATTATTTGAAATTTGGCTTCATTCCATCATTGCCGGACAAACAATCGCCTATGTGCCTTTTATGCAACAAAGTTTTGGGCAATGACGCTATGAAACCATCTAAACTGCAAGATCATCTGAGAAGATGCCACCCTGATAAAACAGAGAAAGATTTGAAATACTTTCAAACACTCAAAGATAAATTTCAGAAGAGACCTACACTGGACAGAATGTTCGCTTCGACGTCACAAAGAAATGATGATGGTTTGCGGGCGTCTTACAATATCTCGTTACTTATAGCAAAATCCGGAAAACCGCATACTATCGGAGAGAAGTTAATTTTGCCAGCCGTTGAAGAGGTTTTAAAAACTGTTTTACACAAACCTGCATCTGATATCATTAAAAGAATTCCCTTAAGCAACAATACTGTTGAAAGACGTATTGATGAAATGAGTTCTGATATTGAAAGCTTCTTATGTAATTATTTGCAAACGACCCATTTCTCTATACAACTGGACGAGTCAACTTTACCTGATAATGCAGCATTATTATTGGCATATGTTCGTTTTATTATGAATCAAGAAATCTACGAAGAACTGCTCTTCGCAAGAACTTTGATAACCGACACTAAAGGTGAATCAATATTTCATGTTTTGAAGGATTACTTCATTGAAAAAGCAATTCCTTTATCAAATATAATATCAGTAGCTACAGATGGAGCACCTGCCATGGTTGGTTATCGTGGATAAGCTATTTAAAACAAAATGTGTCAGGGGTGTTAGCAATACATTGCGTCATCCATCGACAACATTTAGTTGCTAAAAATTTGAGTGTTAGATTGCATGAATCACTTCATTTAGTCATTGATGCAGTAAACCGAATCCGAAGCAACGCGTTGAATACGCGGTTATTTGCGCAGTTGTGTGAAGAAAATGACGAACACTTTCATCAATTACTCCTTCACACTGAAGTACGCTGGCTGTCGAAAGGCTTATGTTTGACAAGATTTTTTGCACTTTTTGAGACTATTTTAGAATTTCTGGATACTAAAGATAAAATTTTAAAAGAAAATTTAATGAAGAGGACATCGCCTATTTAACAGATTTGTTTACAAAATTTAATATGGTTAATTTGCAATTACAAGGCGACAGTTTAAATTTGATTAAAACAAAGTCCATCTTATCAGCGTTTCTTGCCAGAGTTAAACTAATGAAGCAAAATATTGGACGGGGCGAATTTTCTCAGTTCCCCAATTTGTCACAGACAAGCTGCCAGGAAGACGACGTTTCAACTTACGTTCAACATTTAAATGCCCTCTATTCAGATTTTGAATCTAGGTTTGAGGATATTTTGACTATGGTAATACCACCGTGGATAATTAATCCATATGGTGACATAGAAGAAACGAATGTCATAATACAAGAGGAACTGACTGAACTAAGTACAAACGAAGAACTTAAGGTTCAGTTTAAAAACGGATATCAGCAATTCTGGCTGCAAAACAACATACCCGTTACTTATCCCGTATTATGGAATATAGCGAGGAAATTTTTAATTTCCTTTCCATCGTCATACCTAGTGGAAAGGGGGTTCAGCGCTGTTACCAATCTCCTAACGAAAAAAAGAAACAGACTGGACATCATTAGCCGAGGAGATTTAAGATTAACCCTTACAAAATTGACGCCAAATGTTGATAATTTATTATTAAAGCATCAGGTTCATCCTTCTCACTAAAAATATTGACTTATTGCTTATGTTATTTTATTTATAGTTTATTTTATGTTTATTGGTGTCTGACCAATAAATGCCCGCATTGGGAATAAGTGCCCGCATTGATTTTTTTAAAGAACCCCCCTTTATAGAAAATATTTTTTTTATTCTGAAAATTCAAGGATAGGTACACACTAAAATTCGTTAATTTTTTGCCTATTTTTAGATAACTTAAACGTATAAGAAGCGGAATTTAATCAAACTAACAGTGAAATTATTGTAGAACATACGTTTATGTTATAATTAATAAACGAACTCGCTTATTGTACTATTTTAAGTAAAAAACTTTTTTTTATTATTT